AATCAACTACAGTCATCCCTCAGTATCGGCAAGGGATTGGTTCCAGGACCCGGGTGGATACCAAAATCCTCAGGGCTCAAGTCCCTTACATAAAATGGCACAGTATTTGCGTATGACCTATAATCTGCATATAGGCTACAGCAGGGTATGTCTACACATTTCATTTGCATGGATTCTGCATAGTGCTTGGTGCATGGCAAATTCAAGTTTTACTTTTTGGAAATTTCTGGTAATTTTTTTTGTTTTGAGCCTTTTCAATCCATGGCTGATTGAATCTATGAATGCAAAACCTCTGGATACGGAGGAAGAACTTTAACTTTTGCATAATAAGAGTTTAAAATACAACATGTAATGGCAAAGCAAAAGCCACTTTCGACATGCTGAGCCTAAGGGAAGAGAAATATCCATCTATCCATCCAATATTTATCAAGCTCCTCTGGCAGTCATCCACCCAGTTATAAGGAATAGAAATACAGTGGTCTGAAAAGTCCTTCTCATCCTGGAGTATACATGCTATTACAAGGAGACAAACAGTAGAGAGAAAAACAGGCCATAAATGAAGTATGTAGATAGGTAGACAGACAGATAGATAGAGAACAGATAGTACTAAAGGTTTTGAAGGAACATAAAAGACTGCGTAAGAGAAAACAGTGTTTTGGCACATGGGAAATATGTTAAGCAGTTTGTCAGTTTCTTAAAAAATTAAACGTACACATACCATCGGATTCAGCTATTCTACTTATGGGTATTTATCAAAGAGAAATTAAAGCCTATGTTCATACAGAGACTTAAACACAAATATTCATAGCATCTTTATTTTTAATAGCCAAAAACTAGAAACAGCCTAAATTTCTATCAACAAACTATGACGAAGTGCGCTGGAACCGGATATCCACTTGCATAAAACCAAATAGTTTTAGTAAGAAATTCTTGTTATGAAACTAGCTTTTGGAAGAACCAGTACTTTTAAGCACAATTTTCACAGTTTTTCTTAAGGTAAGTATAATTTATTGCTATGTAACTTTCTGTGGCTATACTATTCTGTTATCATGTATCATCAATTTATCACGCTATTTTGAAAGACCTGCCCAAAATGTAATACACAATAATGAGTTTTATTTTCCCCTTCTAATTGCATACACTCTCCTTCAGGTAGGATACTCATCACAGCTTGGAGAAAGCATTATGGTGTATTAGGGAGAACATGCACTTTGATTCAGATCCAAGGTATTATTACACTAATTAGGCAAGTTGTTTTTGTATAGAGTGTATTTCTTAAATTATTTTGGTCGCAGTTCAGGTGTATAAAATGGATCTAACACCACCATTTATGGTTGTGAGAGAAAAATGAGATAATATAAGAAAGCTCTTGGTCAAATAAAGTGGATTCTCAGCAAACATTAGCTCCATACCACCACTGCCGTCACCACCCTCATTCCACTGACTCACAATCTGGTTTCATTTCTAGGCATATCAAAAATTGTGATTTTGATTAATTTGGGCCACTTAAAAAAAACTATTCAAAATTCTTTTATTGGCATGCAAAAATTATACACAAGGACTGAAAGAAAAAATATTCAGAACCCATTATATATTGTATACTGCATGTTATAATGACATAATAGTTTGTACAAAATGTAATATCTTAAGATATTTAAAAATTTTTACATTTAAAACACTTCTGATTTGTAAGTTGGATAGGATGGACAAAACGGTGATAAACAGTTATCTAAGTAGAGATTAACATGTACATTATACTACCCTGAAATATTCTGGTGTAGTGAAAGGTTAAAATACTAATTACTAAACCTTAAATGCCAATAGGATTCCTATCACTTGTGTAAAGTGTGATAAAATCTTTATAAAGTGACATTTAATGTAAGCTGTGTTCCACTTTAAATATAATAACATTCGGTGAAAGAGGTAAGGCTAGCAATACTAAGGAATTTTAATAGTAAGTCTAGATATCTCAATGCTTAATGTTAAGTATTTTACACCGAGAGCTTATATGGTCCTGTGTGATCACAAGAAAACATTATTTTTTCCTCTATAATGCTATAACAATGCAAAAGATGTAAATAACGTGTGTATTTAAAGGATAGTATCTTCTGAGTATTCTAAGGTTAAAATTTAAAATGCCATAAGACACACATACACACACAAAATCTCATTATACATCTAAATGCTAACAAATTTTTCCAAAATGAAGGTATTACTGAAAATTAATTTTTAACACCTATTAGGTCTCATGTAAAATTTGATTATTTCTAGAATTTAGTACTTTTAAAGGATAAATATGCAACTCTCAAACGTTTTTAGTAAAGAAAACCTAATTGTAAACACTGAGCTTTTCCAAGGTAGATGACTATTACAAAGTTCACTAGAAAATCAATATAGCATTTTAGTTGGAATTTGCTCATTAAACACCCACAGCTCTAATGCAAATTATGATGGAATGAATAAAGCAAATACACATGCTTCTTTCTTTTTATTAAATGTAAAATCTACTGTTAATTGCATCTCGTATGTCATACAAACTTTTCTTCTTAACTATTAAATAGAAGCTTTAACAAAAGTCATTAGAGATTCTCTTTCTTTGACTTGAATAAATTTCAATATTTGTTCAGTAAAGGTTCACAGCAGTTAAATTACATTAACAAATATTATTAGCTGCTATGTAAGCCAACCAAGTAAAATACTTATATTGTAGGTAAAACAAATCATTGGGTGTTTACAATAATATTTGGATATCTCCATTTTTAAACATGGTTATCAAATATCCTATAATTCTTAGTCAAATTCAAAAAAGACTCAGAGAGGATCACACCCCGCCCCCTAACAAATACTCAGATTTGTTTAGTAAGCTAATTGTTTTCTAATATGGGCAAGAGTAAATATGAAGAAGCTGAACATACTAGGTATGAGTTTATTGAGTCAAGATAGAGTACATATTTTCTTAGTAGAACCCAAGTCTATTGACAAACCGTACGCTACACTTCTCAAACTACTTTTAAAATACAGTAGAAGTGAGACAGTAGATTGGAAAACATTCTAGTTTAAACACTGGATGATGATTCTCTAAATAACATAATTTGGAGGATAGATATTTCCCAGGAAAAAGAAACCGTTTGTTAACATCCTCAAGGTAGCTATGTAAACAGAAAAGGCTGAACATAGAGGGAAGAAGAAATCATTAGGAACTGAATTTGAAACACATAAAATAATCACTGATTACAACTCACATTCCAAAATTCTAAGCAACAAATAAACACAGATAATTGCTTTGTAAAAGACAGGTCTTTGCTACATACAAAAGAATGTCACAGTGTCTGAATATTTACTATTATTGCTTTACACAACCTTAAATGGAGTCCTTGCAAATACAGTTTTATGAAACTACCATATATATACTCCAGAACCACAAGCATTTCACTATGTCTTTTAATTAAAATTTGTAATTTCTCTCTGTACAAATTTGTTATTGGGAATTTAAACACAGATGGTAAATGCCCCACACAAGTAGACATTTAACCAACCTGGGCCGGTAGAGTGGCTCAGCTGGTAAAGAGCTTGCTTGGGAGTGCCAGCTGAGCAGCAGGGCTGCGGTTCGGATCTCACATGAGGGCCANGGCACTATTTAACCATTTTATAGACACACACACACAAAACCTGAGTCCCAGCGACTCTGAGTAACTTGTCTATGACTGTACAGCTTGGCAATGACAGAGTCAAGAGTCAAAGGCAGATGCCTGGGTCTGAAACCTGTGCTCCTAACCTCTACATTATAATACCTCTCAAATGGAGAGTAGGATTTGATTTCTACCAAATTAATTCTATGTATGTGTCCATTCAACCACCAACCATCCATCTTTCCAGATAACAGTTTTTAAGTACATAAGCAGAGAAATGTTTGGAATGATGTTTCCCTACTAATACAGATAGTTATTTGGGAGTAGGCATATAGAACTGAGGTCAAACTGTTCCTTGATTCTCATTTTTCAATGAGTTTAATGCTTTATGAGTCTCTATCAGTCTTCAAAAAAAATGAAGCTATTAAACAAAAAACAAACCTTACATTACCTAATCACAACTTGAATACTGTCATGTTAACTAGTTAATGACTTGTCTCCCTAACTGTGTTTCGATTAGTACTTTACTGTGATCCCCTCTCCCCGCCTCCCAGAGCCTAGTACAATGCTGGGCAGAGCAAACACTCAGTAAGTATACTGATGGGTCATCATAAACTATTAGATTACTACACTCTGTCTATCTGACAAGTAACATTTCTAGCTGGTCTAGGGCCTTTCTACCCAAAGGGAGCTCCTTAGACAAGCATCATTTGCATCATCTGGGAGCTTGAAAAAAAGGCAGAATCTCAGGCTTCACTCCTATTGAACAAGAATCTTTATTTTAGTAAGATTCCCCAAGTGACTGGAGCGCACATTAAAGCTGGAGGTAAATGCCTACAGGACTCTGTTTCTCTAGTTGTGGTCCATTATTTACCTATATCAGAATCACTGGGCTGCCTGTTAAAAATGTAGATTCTCAGACTCCATTCGATAATATTTCAGGTGTCACTAAAGTTTAAGAGTCACAATTGAAAGTAGGAAAACGTAGTGAAGAATAAAAATGAGCATACTCAGCAGAGAGCAGTGAAAGAACCCAGACAGCTGAAATAAATCAAGAAAGTATTAACAGTAAGGAGAGAAGAGGAGGCACAAAGGAAGGTAGAGTGAGGACACCAACAACAGAACTACAAAGAAGTAAAGAAAGTAACTGTACTGGAAGCGTGCATTTCTTTCTTTTTTTTTTTATTTTGTGACTGTTATCTCTGAAATACAAACTACTATTGTATGCCGAAAGTGTTACAAAGACTGTGGGAATATGGGATTTACCGGTGTAGCATACAAGAATCAGTATTTCTGAATACGGAACCACCATGTAATGCGTGCACTTTATAAATGTTCTAATGTCATGTATAGTTTTAAATGTGTACATACACTTTGAGAGACATTTCCATATGCTTGGCTCGTGCGATTGCTTCATCTCTCTCCTCATTAGCTAACTGCAGTCGAGACATAATAGCTTCGTCACGTTCCCTCTGTGCAAAATACACTTCTTCAACAAGAGCTACCAAAATATACAATCAATAATTAGACAAAATAAATAAGAAATGCATATTTTTAGCAAAAATAAAAAGCAAAAATAATTTTGTTATTTTATCCAGCTGAATTGGCATCAATTAATCACTTGAGAAAACATTGTTTTTAAAAGCTACTGCAAAATTGAGATATCATTTTATACCCTTAAAAGCAAAAGTTAAAAGGTAAAATAATAACAAATATTGGAGTGTCTGAAATAAAAGAAACTCTCACATATACTACAGATGAGCGTATATTTTTCTACAACCATCAAGGAATAATTTGGCAATGTTTGCTGCAGTTGAGGATGTACCTAGCATATAACGTGGGAAATTTCCCAATGGGTATGCAGCCTAGAGAAATTCTTACACATACACACAAGGAAACATGTATAAAAATGCTTACCGCAGCATCACATAACAATAAACTTAGAAATAACTCAGATGCCCAATAAAAGAAGAAAGAATAAATCACTTTACATTCAAAATGGACTATTACCCGGCATTTAACATGAATTAACTATGAACAAATAGACAAATCGCAATAATAAAATGTTGTCAAAAATTCAAGTTGCAAAGACAGACAACTCTATTATTTATGGATAGACACAACTGGTTAAAATGTTAAAACCAGCATGGGAATGATAAACACCAAAGTCAGGAGAATAGTTACCTCAGAGGGATGGTGGAAGGAGAAGAAAGGAAATGCGATCAAGGAAAAGCAAGCAGGGACCCAGCTGTGCTGCTCTGAGCACTGCACATCTCTAGTGGTACCATTTAT